CCTGGGGACGCTGGCCCTGGAGCCTCAAGGCAGAGGAACCCTGGTGGCTCTCTGCTGCTGAGCCTGGGCCCACGGCCACCTTTCCAGCTGAGCATGACACTGGTGAGCAGGAGCGAGCCATGCCTGCCTGCCTCGCGCACTGTGGGCTCGTCTCTGCGCCGGCCTCCCTACCCTGCGGGGCCACTCGGGAGAGGGTGGGAGAGACTGCTCCTTTCAGCCCAGAGATTGCTCGCTCCTCGGGAGGGGGCTGCGGTGCTGCGGCAGGAGCAGGTGCTGGGTCCCTCCTCCCTCCTCCCTCCTCCCTCCTCCCTGAGTTCTCTTGACTGCGGAGGGGGGCAGAGGGATTTTCTGCGGGGCTGTTCATTGGTGGCTGTGATCCGCGGCTGTGATGTTACCGCTGCCTGCACAGCTGCCCGTCCACCCATCCTGGGCAGACGTCAGTGGGGCCCTCGGCTCCACCAAGGCAGCAGCATATGGGCCAGGCTGGCTGGGGAGGGTTTGTCGGGGGCAGTGCAGACAGGTGCAGCCGGGGCACCCAGGCGGCCCCCTGCTCCTCCCCAGAGCCGCTGCCTGGCCCCAGAGCCGGCACGTAGCCCGCCTCGGAGGGGTCCCTGCCAGCAGACGACCCCAGGGACCGTCGCTCTGGAAGTCCATGTGGCTGGGTGGCAGGAAGGCCAGGGTGGATCGCCCCAGCCCTGCAGCAGTCAGTGGCCACACTGCTGGCCCCGCAGAGCCCGTGGTCCACATCCAGGGGTTTTGCCAGCTGGCTCTCCAATGCCGGGTTGTCCCAGGGGCATGGGCCGAGCAAACCTCTTGGTCATTCTGTTGCTGGCCGACGAGGCTCTGTCTCTCTGTTTGGTTCACAAGTCACCACTGAGCCCTTCCCCAGCACCCCGCTGCCCGCCAGGCTCGACCCCCACTGTGGACTCCTAGAGCATCTCTCCAGAAGCTTTGACCTTCAGACCCACACTGCTTCAGCGTCCAGTTCAGACCAGGTGGCCTGACCCCAGAGACCCTTCCCTAGGTATGACATGCCCCTGAGACCTGCACAACCCCACCCCTGAAGCCCAGGGTGTGAGCCCTGCTCCTCAGTGAGTCCCGAGGCCCTGGCAGAGGCCTGTTTCCATCCCGGGCTCGTTCCTTGAGTGCAGGCCTCTTTTACTGACTGTGAGGACAGGTTGTCCCCGTCCTCCCTGAAGCCTCCCAGGAACCTCAGGCCAAGATGCCCACCTGGCAGAGATGAAGCCACCTGATGTGGGGACAACTGCCTTCCTGCTGGCCTCCTGTGGAGGACAAAGAGCTGGGGTCAGAGACAAGCTGTCCTGTGACTTATGCAGAAAACGCTGCCCTCTGCCCAGTACTATTTGTCCAAAGACCACTTGGAAGGGAGTCTTGGAAGCTCGCTGAACCCCAGCCATAGTGTGGTTAGGGAAAGAGCCACACAGTGGCCAGGGCAGGTGGCCCAGTGTGAGAGGTGGGTGGCTATGCCCAGCACGGTGGGCCAGGGTAGGTGTGTGCTGGGGTCCCTCCAGACCAGATGGGCCACAGCCTTGTTCCCCAGTCCCCGAGCCCCTGGCTGGGCAGCTGTGCTCCTGGGGAACTTCAGGGCTGGCAGGCCTCTGCCCTCTGCTGGACCCCCGGAAAACAGAAAGGAGACTCTAAGCCAGGCACGGTGGTGCACACCTGCAATCCCAGCTGCTCAGGAGGCTGAGGCAGGAGGGCTGAGTTCAAAGCCAGCCTCAGAACTTAGTGAGACCCTGTCTCAAAATAAAAAAACGAAATGACTGAGGATGTGGCTTAGTGGGTAAGCCCTAGGGTCAATCCCCAGTACAAACTGACAAACAAACATAATGTGAGCTCCTGAGCTGAGTCAGGGTCTGACTTCGACACCGTGGAGTCAGGGCCTTGCCCTCCTGGCCTCTGGCATGAGAGGCAGTGAGCCTCGGGCCTTCCGCCGTCTGGCAGGGGTGCTCCTAGCGGATGAGTCCCTCTTGCTGCCCTCCTCACTCTAGAGCCTGGGCAGGAGGTGGGAGCTTCCCCCAGCCCGCAGGCTTGCCTCTGGCCGCAGAGGCTCCTGGGATGGACAGAGGCTCAGCCCTGCTTAGGAGAGTTGGCTGAGGCTTAGACGAGAAGCCGGGATTGGGAGCAAGTGGAAGAGGCCATAGCTGTCCACACACCCCTGCCCGAGCATCAACGAGGGGTACCTGGGCTCAGCCCTGCTGCACAGGGGACAGTTGGCCAGCATCTTGCTGGTGTCTCAGTTCTCAGAACTCATTCACATTGGAAAACCGAGAAGCCCACCTCCTGTAGGCCCCTGTCCCTCAAAGGCCCCAACAGAGGCAAAGGGGTAAGCATAAGGAAGTGAGCTCTATAGGGGTGTAGGCTGAGCCCTGATCCTGGTCACACACTGAGCCCTGCTCCTGGTTGCACACTGAGGCTTGGCAGAGCCCTGATCCTGGTCACACACGGAGCCCTACTCCTGGTTGCACACTGAGGCTTGGCAGAGCCCTGATCCTGCTCACACACTGAGCCCTGCTCCTGGTTGCACACTGAGCCTTGGTGGAGCCCTGATCCTGGTCACACACGGAGCCCTGCTCCTGGTTGCACACTGAGGCTTGGCAGAGCCCTGATCCTGGTCACACACTGAGCCCTGCTCCTGGTTGCACACTGAGCCTTGGCGGAGCCCTGATCCTGGTCACACACTGAGCCCTGCTCCTGGTTGCACACTGAGCCTTGGCAGAGCCCTGATCCTGCTCACACACGGAGCCCTACTCCTGGTTGCACACTGAGCCTTGGTGGAGCCCTGATCCTGGTCACACACGGAGCCCTACTCCTGGTTGCACACTGAGCCTTGGCAGAGCCCTGATCTTGGTCACACACTGAGCCCTGCTCCTGGTTGCACACTGAGCCTTGGTGGAGCCCTGATCCTGGTCACACACGGAGCCGTACTCCTGGTTGCACACTAATCAGCTTGATCTGCTCCAGCCTGGAAGCTGGGGGCTGTGGTGGTGGGAGTCTGGTTAAGGAGCCCCTCTACACACTGAGACTCAGGTTCGAGCACTCCTTCCTTCTCTGGGGACAGTGAGTTCCTTGCATATGGGTCAGGGCATTCTGCACCCCAGGGACTCTCTGCGCTCACTTGCTCTGGGCAGGTGGCTCCTAATGATGCCCGCTGAGGTGCCTCCTGAGTTTAAGAGGGGTCCTGCCATTCCAGGGGACCCAGCACTTAGCCTCCACCTCCACCTTGTGGCCTTGAGCTGTGGGTCCTGGGCAGGGCGGTCTCGGGGGGGGGGGGGGGGGGGGGGGGGGGGGGGGCTCTGTCAGCGGGAAGCAGGCGCTGCCCCCCTTCTTCCCGCTGCCCTGGCTTCTCTCTCGACCTCTGGAACTGACGCTGGAAGCCAAGTGAGAGTCACCTCCCTGTCTGGGAACCGACCCAAGCCATCAAACAGAATTAAGCAATCAAGCCCCTCCTCCTCCCCTGGGTCCCCGGGGTCCTGGGGGCCCAACCAGCAGAAGCCCACTTTACAGTCCTGGGCCTCGGCCAGCAGGAAGGCCAGCAGGGAGGCCAGCAGGCCCTAAGGCTCCAGCACGCCCGTCTCAACATGCCCTCGATTCTTTCCCACATAAATATGCAGCCTTTAAAATTTAATAAAAACATACCAATTATAAAAGCTATTTACCCAGTCAGATCAATCATGGGCCTGGCGTGTTTATGCCCGAGCACCTGATTTCAGCTCGTAAGTCACTTTTACACCCTCTTTAGGTGCTAACGACCCAAATGAGCTGGCAGCACGTTCGAGTGATGGGGCCACCTACCCTGGCCGCACCCCTTCCTTAGGGCCCGGGAAGCTGGTTGCTCCAGGGTGTGGAGCCTCTGGCCTCAGGCCCACCTCCTCTCCCCTGCAGGTAGGAGCATCGAACTCACCTCCTCCAGGGAGCCCTCCCTGACCACCCCAGGACAGAGGGTGCCCCTCTCCTCTCTTCCTGGACACGAGCAAAGGGTTCAACTTCCCACTGTCTGCAGCCGAGACAGGGGCTCCCGGGGTGGGCACTGGAGGTGCCAGTGGAACAGGGTGGAGGGGGGTAGCCAGGCAGGGGGACTGCAGGCCAGTGAGGACCCAGGCCTCCCAGGCCTGGTCAGCCAAAGCCCAGAAGGGAGACTCTGGACCAAGGAGAAGTCTGTGCAGTTTGGGGGTTCAGTGGGTACGCAGCATGGAGCAGAGGGAGGGCTGGAGGGCAGCGTCTGGCTTTAGCCTCGCCTCTTCCTGACCTCCACACTTGAGGCCCGTCTGGACCTCCTGAGCCTCGGTGTCCTCACCTATGATGGAGATTGGTGTGGGTCTGAGCAGTCAGTGGGAGGCAGGCATGTCCTCCTGCCACTCACAAGGTCACGACCGGAGCTGGTGTCCCTCTGCTCTCTGCCTTGGTTCAGTGGCGTCTACCCGGAGGCAGCTCTGCTTGGAGGCTAAGCATACAGAATGATATTAGGGCCACTGGGTTCAGGGTCCCATTTGGCTGGTCATTCAACGTGCAAAGCTGGACAGATCTCTTGGCCTTTTTGTGCCTCAATTCCTTGTGGAAACCCACATGCCACCACAAATACCTTACCTGTATTCAAATGTCTGCTGGATTGCAGATACAATAGCTGGAGCTGCAGTAGCCATGTTGGGTCACAACATAAAGCAAGACCACCAGGCAAAGGCAGCTTGATCTATGGTAGCTGGACCCTAAGGCCTCCACAGTCTAGGGCTTCAGTGCCTGTTGAGGTGTAGACACAATGCAGGGGCCGGCTCTTCCCTGCTCGCAAGCTGTGACGGTGGCAAGTGGTGGATGGTCTCTGTGCTTCAGCTGCCTCTTTCCTAACAGGGACCAGGGACAACTCTGCTGGGGGTCCCTTGGGGATTAGGAACTGGGTAAGCTGTGAGGCCCGGTGCCTGCCATGTGGCAGGGCTCGCCGCAGCTCAGCAAGTTGGCTATAAGTCCTGCCGTGTGCTCCGTGATCAGTTAAGAAATCTGCACATTTTATTCTGCTTAATCCTCTCAGCTTCCTGTTGGAATTTATCAGAAACCTCCACAAAGGTTTCTAATCCACATTTGCAACGCTGAAGCTCAGTGGCAAGTCACAGAGACTCAGAACAGCAATGGCCCAGAGAGGACCTGTCTTCCCTTTCCATGGGCATGGGGGTGGGCAATCCAGGACCGGAGTGGGCTGTGCCACAGGGACCAGGAGCTCCCAGGGACCAGGCTGCTTCAGTCCTGTGGGTGCACTGAGCCACGGAGCCTGCAGTTCCAAAGCCACATCATGGCACAAAATGGGGGCTGCAGCTCCAACACCACATCCTAGGGCCCAGGAGAAGGGAGGCAGGAGTGGCAACAGACTGCTGATCCTGCCCCTGAAGCTGCCCCTGTCACTGCTCACAGCTCAGTGCCGGGCACAGCAGCATCCAGCTGCAAGGGAAGCGGGCAGGTGGTCTTTTTCTTGTGACTGTGTGTGTGCTGCTGCCTAGTGCCATCCAGGAGGGAGGGCGGAACCGCACAGCAGGACCGCCACACCGACTGACCGGCCGACACTGGGCCCTTGTCCAGCATAGCCGTAGTGGCCTCTCCCGGGAAGATGCCATCTAGCCTAAAGCAGGACGTCTTAACCTCCAGACAGTGACATTAGGAGCTGGGCGATTCTGTGTCCTGGGGCAGGGGCTGTGCTGCGTTCTGTGCCCTGTAGGATCTCAAGTGGCATCCACCCCTGCACCCACTGGGTGCCCCTGCCTTGCTCCTGTTGTGACAACCAGAGATGGCCAAACGTTCCTGGGGGGGGGGTTGTCCCTGATTGAGAACCAATACAGGGACGTGGGAGAAGAAAGCCCTCCAGGAGGGACCGTGTGGGGACTTCCCGGCCCCGGGCCCCACCCAGGAGCGCTGCTCTCCAACCTCCAGGTCTGCAGGCGGGAGGTGCCCCTCCAACCCCCTCTTGCACCATGAGCTGAAGCAGGCCATGGGCGCTGCTCCTGGCTGTGAACTCTGGGTCGACAGCGTCCAGATGATGGTAAAACACCCACCAGAAGCCGGGAATCCAGAGCCAAAGAGCAAGACATGGGGCGGGGGGATGCATTTAAAACCAGAAGAATAGATGAAATGGCAGCTGTTCACAGGAGACAGGAAAATTTTGCATATGGCAGGTGCAAGAAAGGTTTCTTCTAATTATTTTGCTACAAATATATATTTTTGTGTGCCCAGGAGAGCCGCTGTCGTGTGGGGAGAACTGCCCATGGCACGCTAAGGGCGGGCATCGTTAGTGCGGGACGAGTTCACAAAGGTCCTCGGTAACGCACGGCCTCAACTAGACACTGACCAAAACCCACGGCTGCGCGATCCACACGCAGCCAGGAAGGGACTGTGGAGGAGCGTGCTCCCTCCCTAGTAATAACGGAAATGCACATTACGACAAAATTCTCCTCTTATTAACATGGGGAGACACTGAAATGTGCCGATGTCCACAGTGTGCTTTTGGGCTGGAAGCTGCATGCTTGGGGGCTGAGCCTGGGGGGCTGTGTCGGGGCAGGCAGGGACTCCCGGGAGCAGGCAGCCGGCCACGTGACCACACTTCTAGAAAGGCCCCCCCAAGACGGGCAAGTTAATTGCTTGGCTGCTGTCCCGAGGAAGTAATGCGAAACACAAAAATATATATTTGTAGCAAAATAATTAGAAGAAACCCAAGTGCCTGAACATGGGGAATGTTTAAGTAACCTGTGGTTTATCCACTCGAAAGAATATTACAGCCATTAAAAACTAATGTTCGCTAAGAGTCTGTGCGGAGACCTCGTGCAGGGAAGGAAAGGCAGGATCCTAACAAGACACGATGCGACGCGTTCCAACAGGGAAATGAGGAAATTGGGGCCTGTCAGAGGGGTTGTGAAACAAAGTGCCTTAACCAAGGGGGGGGTGACCGGCCTGCGGGGACGGCCGGCGTGAGCCCGCCCAGCTGTGCGGTGGGTGCAGGCAGAGCTCCTTTGCTGGCTCCGGCTGTCCCCAGTGTCTCTCACCCAGACGGCTCTACTCTCCACAGGACTCACACACGCTTCTGCAGGAGCCCGGCTAGCTGCAAAAGAAATGGCTTGTGGGTGACGATGCCGCGTGACCCAGGACTTCCCTGCTCTTCCTAAGTTGTGAGAAATAATTGACAGTGGGGGGATGCGGGCTTGCTGGCAGCACCCTGTTGTGCTCCCCCAGCCCCGGCCCCTCCCTGGGGTGGGGCAGGCAAGGTAGGTGCGAACTGGCCTCCTAAATCCATTTAGGGAAGGTGTTGGCCGCTGGGGACAACACGGAGCAGAACATGCCCGCCACATTCACAGTGGCATGCCTTGAGTCACACGTGTGTGCGGCAAACGTGACAGATATTTGTGTAAAAGGCTCTTCCCCGTGGCGCCGGCCCGGGAGTAGCTAGATTTCACATTAACTCCTCTGTCATATCTGGAAGGTCAGCAGGAGTCTCTTTTGTGCCTCTGGTCCCAGCTTAATTATTGGTCAAGTCCTGGTTTGGGTGAGAAGTTTCAGAATCCTTCCTGCTCTCCGAGGGGACGGTCATGGGCTGGGTGGTGGCTGGTCTCAGATGCTCCTGGATGCCCCACTCAGCACTCAGAACCCAGGGAAGACTGAGGTCTGTGGGCCTCTGAAAAATCCAAGTCCACGGACAGCAATGAACAGGTCACTCTAGGGCCCTGGGCTGCTCCCCACGTGATCCCCTGGAGACCTGGACAGTAACCCGGAGGCCTTGGGGAAGCACATCTCAGGCCACCCCCTGCACAGGGCCAGGGTCCTGACAGTAGCTGTGGGGTCCTGGCTTTGCTGGGTGGCTTGGGCAGGGACAGGCCTTTTAAGCTGGGCCACACCGGGCCCTCTCCACTGGCCACAGGAGGCTATACTGCTGCTTCCCACCACCAACCCCCGCCCTGTGGGGCTGGTCACATGGATTTGTCTCCTGCCTCTGGGCGAGGGAGTACCCTATTTTCCCTGGCTTTCCCAGGGGTGACTCCCACCCTCCAGTGAGGCCCCCAGTGAGCAGGTCTGCTGTGGGGTGGGGTTGGCCTGCACCCCACCTCAGCTGTGCAAGTCCTCCAGCTGTGGAGGTGGTCTGTGGCCAGGCCACGTGTTGGGAGAGCGTGTGCTACCTAGGCTGGCCAGGCAGAGCACTGGGGCCTATGCGGAGGGGCGAGGTACGTCCGCAGGCCTCTGGGATCTCTGGGGTTCCCCACGGGCCGAGGTCTCCTCTCAGCCTCAGGAGTCGCTGTGAGCAGTGGGCCCCAGCGCCTTGGGGCTCAGGAGGCCCCTCTGATGTGAGCCTGCTCTAGGAGCAATGTCTGGGTTTCAGGATTCCAGGGGACCAGGTGTGGGGAGCTCCAGAAGCCTCCCGGGGGACTCTGGCTCCATCCTGGTCTGGAAGGTTCTTCTTTACCCTCATGTCATCGCAGATGCATCACGGGGCTCCCACACTGAGTCAGCTCTGGACAGGTGTCAGGTGGAAAGAATGAGGGTCCCCCCACTGAAGAGGAGGGAGACGGGGACACTACGGGTCCTGCTCAGAGTGATGTCACTGGAGAGAGAGCACTGTGGCCAGACTGCCCACTCCACCTATGAACCTGCCAAACCTAGGGCCAGTGACCAAGTCCCTGTGGCTCAGTCTCTCCAATGGCAAGTGGGGCGGGGCGGCCAGCTGTCCCCTGGATGACTGTGATGCGGGAGGAGTGGCAGCTGTGGGAGCCCTGCATCAGGCAAGGCGTGCTGAGGATCTCTGACTGAGGGGGAGAGTGGGGGCTGCAGGCCTGCCCAGGGAGCAGCAGCCAGCCTGGGGCGCTCTGGAACGTTCTGGAATAGCTGGTCTGTGTAAATGTGGGAGTTAGGGAGTTACTGAAGAGGAGGGGGAGCTGGTGGTGGCAGGAGCAGGGTGCTGGGGCAGGGCACATGGCTCAGGCAGAGGGTCCCAGACCTGGGCTGCCCAGGGGAGATGTGTGTGGTGTGCCCTGAGCAGGGCGGCTGGCGGGAGGGCGTGCTGAGAGCTGGGTGGGCAGGGTCAGGTGGTGCCTCAGGGGCTGCAGGAAGGGTGTGCCCCCAGTGTCACCATGGGCAGCGGAGATGGAAAGGCAGAGGGAGAGGGAGGTGAGCAGGAGCCAGGCTGTGGCAGCCCAGCCTTGTCCTTGACCTCTTTACCCTTGGTGTCTGGTTTGGCAAACGTGTTCACGGCTGTGTAGGCTGATGCCAGGGTGCCCCGTGTCCTGGTCCCTGAACCTGGAATGTGTCACCTTATGTGGCAAGAGGGCCTTTACAGACGCAACAGGCTCCTGAGGTGGGGAGAGGACCCTGGGTTATCTGGTGGGCTCAAGGTCATTGCAAGGTCCTTACAGGAGAGAATCAGAGAGACAGAGCCGAGGTGGGAGGGCTGCCTGGCAGGAGGAGCAGGAAGGAAGCAGCCTTCCCTGGAGCCCCGGCCCTCCCACCCGCACCAGCAAGCTGGCCTTCCCAGCCCAGGGCCTGAAGGAGTGACCGCAGGCGCCCGGTTCTCCAGGTCAGCAGCAGAGAGGCCAGTGATGGGTAGATCACAGACAGGACAGTCGGGGATGGAGAGAGGGAAGATGGATAGATAGAACACACACACTCACACACACTCTCTCACACTCACATTCACACTACACACTCACTACCAGTCACACCTACACACACTCACACTCACTCACACTCATGCACTCACATATACTCACACACACTCACATACACACACATTGAGGCATGCAACACACATTCACATACACTCACACACTCACACTCTCTCATACACTCACATTCACATACACACATTCACACACTTGCACTCTCTCACACACTCACATATACTCACACACACTCACACTCACATTCACATACACACACTCACACAACTCACACTCACATACACTCACACTCACATATACTAACACACTCACTCACATTCACATACACACATTCACACACTCACACATACACTCTCTCACACACTCACACAATCTCACACTCACACACACGCACACTCTCTCACACACACACTCACACACATTCACACACACTCAGTCTCTCACATACACACATTCACACACTCACACATACACTCTCACACACTCACACAATCTCACACTCACACACACATGCACACTCTCTCACACACTCACACATACACTCTCTCACACACACACTCACACACACTCACACACACACACTCACACACTGTCCTGAGAGGACAGCCACAGTGGACCCACCCCGCCCTGCTCTTCTTTCTATAGGAAGCCTGGACCCTCATCTCCAGGAGCGGGCTCTGTCCCCTCTCTGGAGTCTGGAAGGGCCTGTGTCCCCTGTGGAACAGGAGACTCCTGAGGCTCGGTCCTAAAGGGTGACTGGATCTCTGCCTGGCGCTCTGGGCCAGCCTTGGGGCTCAGGCACCTTCCGTGGGGAAGTCCAGGTGCAAGTTCCTGCGCCACCTGGGAAGGTCCTGGCCACAGCAGCTCAGCCTCGCGCCCTGCAGGAGGCCTCCTGCACCCTGCCTGTCACAGGCTCCTCTCTGCTCGTGCAGGAGGACTCCAGCCTGAGGCTGCAGGTGTGGGGGTGCTTGGGCAGGACCCCGGCTTTGAGGCAGGAGGTCATCTCCTCACCCAGGCAACACTGTCGAGCAAAGGGCCCAGGTTAGGTGCCAGAGAGCTGGGCCTGGCCCAGGGCCTGGCAGGGATGCCAGTCAGCAAGTTGGGGCCTTCCTGTGTTGGGGTCCCAGGACTGTGGGCAGGGCGGCAGCCTCTGGAAGCAAAGGAGATTGTCCTTGGCCACCTGGGTGGGCCTCACCCAATCAGCAGAAGGCCATGTGAGCAGCACTGAGCTCCCAGGGGAAGAAATGAAAGAATCCTGCTTCCTGATAGCAGCGCCCGCACCTGCCGGCCTGCCCTGCAGATATCAGACTGGCCAGTCCAACCACCCTTGGAGTGTGCCTCCCAGGCCTGGAGTCCCACCCTCACGCAGTCCCTCCATCCAGCCTCACCATCGCAGGGTTCCCAGGGTGCTGCCCTCGGCCACGGCATGGGCAGCCCCGTGTTCATGTGGACCTGGCCATGCGGTCACACCCAGGAGGTTGGAGGCGGCCCAGCTTGCGCCCAGGAGGCAGACTGCATCAGACACCAAGCGGCCACCCACCTGGGAGCTCAGCAGGCAGGGCCTGGTGGGGCTCTGTAGGCCGGGGAGCCTACAGTGGACGTGTCTGCAGAGCGGCTGCCCTCCCCCAGGCCAGGAGAAAGGGGCTCTGCTGCCGCTTACCTCCTCCGGGCTCAGGGAGGAACTGGCCCTTCTAAGGCCCCTTTGTCGGGGCCAGGCCTCTAGCACCATCCCCGCTTGGACAACTCCAAGCCAGGCTGGCCAGGGGTTCACAGGAAACCCCTCCCCTCCACCATCTCACATGACCTGGTTAGGAGATGACTGTCCTGTGCTCACCCCGGCATAGGGGGTAGGCAGCCTGAGGACACCATCATGGAATCTGCATGCTGCAGAGGACAGGTGTGCTGGACAGTGGCTGTTCTTCCCAGGTTCCTAGACAGGGCAGGACTGGAAGCCCCTTCTCAGCAGGGGACCCAAGATGGGGACTGCTGTCTGCCTTTAATAAGAGACCTATTGCCCCCCACTATTCCAGGAGGGGTGTGGCCACTCACCTGAAGGGAAAGGGGGATAGGGAGGGAGGGGGAGAAGGGAAAGCGAGAGGGAGAAAGAAGGGGAGGGAGGGAGGAAGTGAGAGCAAGGGGGAGAGGAGGGAGGGAGAGAGGGAGAGGGAGGGAGAGGGAGGGAGAGAGGGAGGGAGAGAGAGAGGGAGGGAGAGGGAGGGAGGGAGAGGGAGGGGAGGGAGAGAGGGAGGGAGAGGGAGAGGAGGGAGAGGGAGAAGGAGGAGAAGAAGGGAGGGAGGGAGGAAGTGAGAGCAAGGGGAGAGGAGGGAGGGAGAGAGGGAGGGGGAGGGAGAGAGGGAGAGGGAGGGAGAGGGAGAGGGAGGGAGAGAGGGAGGGGGAGGGAGAGGGAGAAGGAGGGAGAAAGAAGGGGAGGGAGGGAGGAAGTGAGAGCAAGGGGAGAGGAGGGAGGGAGAGAGGGAGAGGGAGGGAGAGGGAGAGGGAGGGAGAGAGGGAGAGGGAGGAGAGAGGGAGGGAGGAGAGGGAGAAGGAGGGAGAAAGAAGGGGAGGGAGGGAGGAAGTGAGAGCAAGGGGAGAGGAGGGAGGGAGAGAGGGAGAGGGAGGGAGAGAGGGAGAGGGAGGGAGCATGGCGGGGGGCTAGAGAGTGGCCTGGAGAGAAGAGAGCCCTGGCTGGGGCTGCCAGCGGAGGGCGGAGCAGCCTCCTCTGTACTGGCCTAAAGCAGCCTAAGGACCCCCCCCCCCAGCCTGTTTCCCTGGAGCCCCGCCCCCTGGCTCTGCCCACCCTTGTCCTTGCTGGCCTCTGAGTGCCCTGGAGGTCACCTGGCTGGTCCTGAGCCTCCAGCCAGCAGGGGCTTCCCCCTCAGACCCTCCTTCTTTGTCCCTCTTCTTGCCAGTGCCATCCCCGTGTCCTCCGCAGGAGCACAGGGTGGGCAGACCAGAGGGACCTGCCTTCTCTCCGTCCCACCCAGCCCTCCAGGATCAGGATGGGGCGCCTCTGAGGCTCCTTGTCCTGTCAGCCCCTCGGGGACTTGCCAAGCTCCGGGAATCAAGGGGAGATTCTCACCTGAGCTCAGCAGCACCACATCTTGATTTCCCTCCTGCGCTGGATGGATCCCACTTCCTGCCAGGAGAGGAGGAGTGACAGGCGGCTGTGTCACCTGAGGGCACATCATTTGATGGGAAAGCGCCTTTCCAGGGTAGGAAGGGGGCAGAGTGCTGGGTTCCCTGGGCCACCGTCCCGAGGGGCCCTGACAGGGGTCTGCAGGTGCCCTGCTGGGCTGGGGCTGGGCTGGGAGGATCATGGGGGTCCAGAAGCATGGCCTCCCTGGAGGAGCGAGAGCCAGAGCCGGCAGAGATCATCCGGGACAGGATCTCTAGGGGGTGTGGTATGGCCAGGATGCACCATGGGGTCTGTGGGGGCAGCAGAGTCACTGTCACTGAGGGAGGTTCCTGGAACCCAAGGTCTCGACACGCCCAAGTTCATGACCAGGAAGACTGGGCTTCCGATGCACCACTCCAGCACGTGCCCTGCCCTGGCGGGGCACAGCGTCATAAAGAGTGTTTGCCAACAAACACTGGTCACTTCTGATGTTGTCACCCTGACAGCTGCAGTTCAAGGCCATTTCTGAATTGCCATCACGACCCACCTCAGCTGAGCAGTGTTCTGCTACAGAAGGACTGGGGGACATGAGGAGGTCTCTGAGCCTGCTGGAGTCTCACCTGCCTGTCCTGGACTGGCAGGGACTGAATGTCCACAGTCTGCAGGCTCCAGGTCTTCAGGGGAGTGTCCAGGGCCACCTGGGCAGGTTCAGACAGGTCCCAGAACCGCCTTCTCAGAGGTGTCCCTGCCTGGGAGCCCAGCCCCCCACCCCTCCCCAGCGCCCCACAGCTTGCCTGCCAAGGGCTTCCACAGCACCAGTCCCCAACCTGCTAGGAGCCCTCCTGGGGCCCTGGGTGGGGTAAGGAGGTCCTCCTGGCCCACAGCCCCTGCCCCGCCTTGCCCCTGACCTTCTAGTTCCGGTGCAGGTTGGGCTTGTCCTGGCTCCCTAGGAAGCTTGGCAGACCCCCAGCCCCCTCCTGCTCAGCAGCTGCCCCCAGACCTGCGTGAGCCCCGGCTGGGCCCATCCGGGGCTTCCTCTACAAGCACCCCCAGCGGCCAGGGCAGCTCTCACCCCTCCCTGTCCCCGCCCTCTGTCCACCCTTCCTTGTCCTCCTCCTCATCCTCTCTGCCCCCCCCCGTGTTGCCTGGCATCCTGGGAACTCCAAATGTTTGGGGGGCATTCTGCAGTGGTGGGCTTTCTGGCTTTGGAGCAACTGGTCTTACGGCCTGGCACTTGTGCCCTGATCTCCTCAAAGCCCCATTCTGCAGCAGCCCCAGTGACAAAGAAAAGTTGGCGTCACCCACCTGGCAAGTGAGGGGGTGGCAGGCAGTCCCCAGGCCTCCCAGCCCTGAACCTCTTCTATTTATAACAGAAGCCCTGCGTCGGCAATTGCTATTCAGCACAGGGGAGGCTGTGGAATAAAATTGTATAACAGAATTCATTCTCCCCAGTCCTCCTATTAAATCTCACCTCAGAACCTGCTCCCAGCCAGGGACCCCGCGTCTCCTCGGGGCAGGCTCACCAGGACTGCCACCTGCTCAGTGCCTCCAGCTGCCAACCTGGCTCACGGCTCACGTCTGCGCCAGGGAGTTCAGATCTGCCTGTCCTTAGGGTGGCCATGGGAAGCTGGGTCCTCAGCTCCGGCAGGAGGCTCCGAGGACCCTGGGGTTTTGGAGGCAGGAGGGGCACGGGCGGCAGCCGGGCATTGCAGGAAACTGGCCTGGGAAGTGGCCAGGGCCCTTCAAGGTCCCAGTCCTCCCACCCCACCCCGTCTACTCCCAGGGTGTGCCCTGGCCTGGGAGCTGCCCTCCTTGTCCCCCACGAGGCCCAGCCCCAGGGCCCTGGGCAGCTCAGGCAGCTCAGTGCTTCCCCGCCCTCCCCCAGCCCGAACCCCAGGGTCCTGGCCATCCAGGGTGGTCATGGGCTTTGCCTCCGCAGGGTGGACAGCGGGTGTTCAGCAGATGCCTGGGCCAGAGCTAAGAGCCTGGCCTGCCTGGGGAGGTCCCTGGGGGGTCGGTCCCCCTACCCCCAGGGGAGGGGTTTCCACCGCCTTTCCCACAGGAACCAGTTTCTAGCCCCGGATAAGGCAGATCAGGCCGCCCGTGAGCTGGCCGGGGAAAGGCCACCAACTCCAGGCTTTTACAAACCAGCTCTTCCCTCTCAGAGGAGTGGGGCCATCCTTGCCCCAGAGGGGACGGTCTCTTGGGAAGGGGGACTCTGCCAAGGCATCCATCCCCTCATCCAAACTGCGTCAGATCAACAGAGCAACCATTCTGCGGGCTGAGCCTGGAGGCTGGCCTCCCGGGCACCGAGCCCCCGCCTGCGGGGCTGGGCTGCGAGTGGGGCTGCTGCTCCTGGTGAGGCCTCTCTGAACTCTCCCAGACAGCCCTCCCGGGCCTGGAGCAGAGCCAGGCCTAAATGTAGATGAAGGAGCAGCCGCCCACACAGCCTACGGCAGCCTCGGTGTTTTCAGAGTGATTTCCTCAGTAGGGAGGGGTGGGTGTGGAGGCCAGACACTGCTCTGTGCCCACGTGCTGCGTCCTCGTGGGGCATGGCTGCTCACCACCCCACCCTGAACACGCAGAGCTGAGGCTCCGAGGGGTCCCCTTGCCAGGGAGGAATCCAAGGTGACCCAGGGTTTCCCGGCCCAGAGCCCTCCCCCTGGGACCAGCTCACTCGTCCCCACAGGGTTGAGAGCCCCATCTTGCAACCATTCTGGAAGGGTCCTAACAGGCCACAGTGCCCAGTGTCCCTGTGCCACACAGCCTTGTCCCGAAGGCAAGATGGCCTTCAGAGGAGGGAGGAGTTTGGCCAGGTGCCCGGGGGCTGCACAGCAGGCCTTGACCTACTCTGTCTGCACAGAATGTCATAAGCAGAGGGTGGGAAGAGTGTCCCAGGGCCCCCAAGCCGGGGACCTGGCGTCCCTCAGTGAGGCACTCTCCGAGGCACAGGTGCGGATAATGACGATGGTGGTGGAGACCTGGTCGGGCTGTGTGGTGAGGGGGCCACCAGGTCCCTTCCGCCCGCCAGGCCCCCAGAGCTGAGCTCCTCGTCCGTCCTGGCTCCTGGGTCTGGGCTGCCAGCTCGGCCTTCCCTCCCCTGGGTCTCGCTCACCAAGGCCTCCACCAAGCACCTGCAGCCCTGCGGGTGGCCAGGGATCCCACGGGTGGCAAGAAGCCAGGAGACTTTACTAGGAAAGTGGCACTAGGACAGGGCTCCGAGCAAGGGGCCAGGGATAGGGGGAGGGCACGGTCCTGAGGCCGAGGCTGTGGGGCTCCTCTGTGGTCAGGGGCTCCACCGCCTCACATGGGTCAAGGTTACGACCCACTTAGGCCAATGTGACGCCAGGCAGGAGCCAGGCAACGTCACTCGGTGACAGCCCCTGAGACGTGAGGCAGGGCTGGAGGCTCACCTGGGGATGGAGCCCGTGCCTGGAGGCTGGCTGAGGCTGGCCTCCCGGGGCACCAAGCCCCCCAGCAGGGCCTTGCCCAGTTTGAGTCCTTCAGTACTAGCTTATGAGGTGGCCTGGGGTGATGAGCACCAACCCCAAATGTCCTTTGACTTTGTCCCTTTCTCTGTCACCACTAGACTCCTGGGGGATACCCTGTGGGGTCGGCTGTTGAAGGTCCCCTGCTCTAGATATGGGTCTGTGTTCCCTGTCTTGTCCCTCTGGGGCAGCTCCAGGTACTGGAGGCCAGGTCACCTGCAGGTAAGGCTTCCTCTCCCTACCTGCCGCCCTACCCTCCCGTCTTGCCAGCCCTAGGCTGCAAGGACAGCTCATCTGACTCCCCCTGCATCCCCTGTGGGGGCTCTTCTGGAACTCCTGAGCCAAGGGTGACCAGGGCGGGGTCGCACCCTGAAGCCTGTGTGTCTGAGGACCGGGCCGGGGAGGGCCACTGGAGGGCCACGTCCGTCTCCGTCCCCCAGGCCTCCCCTCGGCACCTTAGCCCTGTCTCCCCTGAGAGGTGACTCTCTTGTGAGAGGCACAGGCAGGAGCTGCTCCGGGTTCAGGGGGATCTAGGCGTCTTCCAGGAGGCCGCAGTGAGGTCCCCCTGCCCAGCCACAGTGGCCCTGCTCTCAGCCCGGGAGGGCCTGGGGAGCCCGGCAGGCAGAGGAGGCTGAACCCGGTTGTGCACCTGGGAAAGTGGGCCATGGGCCTGCGAGGCTGGGGGAGACGCCGCCATTCCAGGCTTGGGTGGACAGAGCCACGCTCGGGACACACTGAGGACAGAGGGCTACAGGCCTCGAGGCAGGTGGGGTTTCTTAACTGGACGGGCTGGTGGGCGAGGGGCTGGGGAGGCAGCCGGTGTGGCCTGGTGGCCTAGAGTTCAAGGAGGGAGGGACGGCAGATTCCTCTGGGTGGCTCATCCCCCAGAGCAGGGGCGCTCTGCAGGGGCTGGCTGGCCTGGCCAGTAGAGCCCATCTGCATGGCCACGTGGTCTCTGGGGGAAGGCAGCCCCGCTCTGTCAGGAAGACTGTCCCAGTAGCTGGTGCTTGTGCGGCTGTCGTGGGACAGGCTTGGGCCATCTATCGGCTGACACCTGCCCTGCAGAGTGGACCCTGCTGCTCAGGCTGCTCTCAGGAGAGCTAAGCCCGGCCCTCTTCCCTGCTGGGGGACCCAGGGACTTCGGTGAGCCACCTCCAGGCTCGGGCTTGTCCCACAGGCACATCTGGGTGGCTCTCTTCCCTCCCCCAAGGGTCTTCAAGCACCTACTGTCCTTGTGAGTGTCAAAGCCAAGCCAGGGCTGTGACCAGGTCTGCTGACGAGGAGGTGGGACCACCGTGAGCAGTCCTCTGGGAGCCTTGTAGGCATGGGGTCTCGGCCCCGCCGGGAGCTCCTTTCCCACTTGTGACCCCTGCTGAGCTGGACCGTCCTGACCTGGCCTTGCCCCCCGTCCCCAAAGACAGCAAAGTGAGGGATGATTCCGCGGACGCTGGCCGGGTGGAGGGCGGGGGAAGATTAATTAGTTCCCGTTAGCCCGGGAGTCAATTTGCAGGCCTTCAATGAGAGCTCCATAGGAGAAGGTTGTTGACAAATCGGAGGAGACTCAAACCCAACAGCGCAGCTCTTGAGGGCAGAGTGAGGACAGGTGCAGGAAGAGCCCACTCTGCGGCTCCCTTGCCAGGTGGGGCTCGTGGACCCAGCAACCCACCACCCCGGCCCCGTCACGCCCCAGCTCCTGCTGCTGAAACCACTGTGCTCCCGTTCTGAAGATGGACATGCCAAGCTCCTGGAGGTCCCTGAACTGGACCCAGGGCACATGGTGGGGACAGTGGAGTCAGGACTAGATGTCCCCTCCCCATCCCCCACCCCATTGCCTGGGCCTCTCTGGGACAGGGCTACTTGCGTTGGGGCCCAGGGCCTTCTGTTCTGGGCCTCCAGACCCTTATCCCACCATAAGGAGGCCAGCAAAGACCCCCCAGACCTGACAGAAAGTCTAGGTCAGTGCCTGGACTCTGCACCCTGAGCCTGGGCTTGGGTGTGCCCTGGTGTCCCGCCTTCTGCAGGGTGCTCAGCGCAGGCCAGCTGGTCAGTGCATGGCTCTGGACTCAGTTTTACCCTCTGAGAACTGGAAGAATATCCCACTGTCCACCAACCCTCCCCTCCTGGGCTGTCCGTCCAGAGCCTGGGGGACTGGGAGGCCGAGGCCGCCCACACCCGGCTTGGAAAGTGCAAGGAGTTCCCAGCTGACAGCAAGGGGTGAGGGCGGCCCTGGCCAAGGCCCTGGGGATGCAGAGGAAGGGCTGGGCCCGGCTGGTGGGAGGGGGTGCTCAGGGCCCCTGTGTGAGGGGTGCTCAGGGACCATGGGCAGGGCCTGGGAGCCTCCACCCCATGAGCACCTGGCGGGCAGGTCAGCGCCTGGCCTCCTGGTGGCCCGCCAATCCCCCGGGGCCGCGGGCCAGCCCCACCCTGCAGAGCTGTCTGGCCTGGTGTGAAAATGAAGATTGATCATGGCGGAAGGCAGCCGGCTCTGTGCAGCGGCCGGGAGTTGCAGAAATACAGAGCTTCATTATTATTTTAAGTGTTACTCAGCTGCTTTATTGAATTCTCCAAGTCAGGAAAAATTCTGGCGAGATAAGAAGTTGACATTTTCAGAAGCAGCAACGGGAGCCGTGCGGGCGGCGAGGACAGAGCGCCGCGCCTGCTTGGCATGAGAAGGCTCAGCCTCCGCCACCACCCACGCCACCTCGCGCTCATGCTGACTCAGGACCACGGGCCCGGCCGCCAGGGACCGCGCTCCCTGGCTCCCTACCCCCACCCATCTGCCTTTCTTCTTTGAACACCTACTATGTGCCAGGCTAGAGGGCAGACTGGCCCAGGACACCACCTCTCTCTGGCTTAGTCTCGGTGCAGTCGTGGGATGATGACAAGTCACCGTGAGAAGCAGTCTGAGAGTGACAGGGAGGCACGGGCAGCCCAGGAGGAGCCCATCCTCCCACAGCCAGGAGCCCCACGGGCAGCTGCGCCCACCTTGCTCAGCTCTGCCTGGAGGGGGCCTGGCGGAGACGCTCAGCAAGCACTCAAACCCCAGCGGAAGAGCGTAGTGAAGGGACAAGAGAGCTCTCCAGGGAGTCTCCGAGGGGACTTCTGTTCTGGTCATGAGGGGAGCGTGGGTTTCCCGGAGGACATTGTAGGACATCATTTGCAAAGGACATTGCTGGACAGGGGCTCTGCAGGATGGTCCACACTGGGAGAAGAAGTAGGGGGAGGAGGCTGCAGGTGGTGGGGGAGGAGGCTGGGGCAGAAG